CGCCAGACTTTTTTAAAAACACAAATTTTGAATTTGAATGCATAACAAATAAATCCTAAGCACTTGAGATATATTTGCTCTTTCCATCTCCTGGACGATCCTGAGGCACAGAGGTTACATTAATCTCCCCAAATCATACCAGGAGCCTGAGGCAGCGTGGGAGTGGGAAGCAGGCAGCCTTGCTCCTGAACTGCCCCTGCGGCCTGCGGCCTCCCTGGACTCCGCTTCGGTGGACAGGCTCAATGCTCAGAGTCTTCTCCTGTCTGAAGCACACTTGCATCTGATTTGTGGCCACACCTCTGAACTAGTATTGCTGAGAAAAGCATGAATTTGAAACAAGTGTTGCAAACTCTGCCCTCTCTACTTATTTTATGATGTTAAGTAAACCACACACCTTCACTGAGCCTCAAGGCCGGGCGCGGTGGCTCACGCCTGTAATTCCAGCACTTTGGGAGGCCGAGGCGGGCGGATCACAAGGTCAGGAGATGGAGACCATCCTGGCGAACATGGTGAAACCCCCGTCTCTACTAAAAATACAAAGGATCCTTGGGCCGGGCGCGGTGGCTCACGCCTGTAATTCCAGCACTTTGGGAGGCCGAGGCGGGCGGATCACAAGGTCAGGAGATGGAGACCATCCTGGCGAACATGGTGAAACCCCCGTCTCTACTAAAAATACAAAAAATTAGCCGGGCAAGGTGGCGGGCGCCTGTAGTCTCAGCTACTCGGTAGGCTGAAGCAGGAGAATGGCGTGAACCCGGGGGGCGGAGCTTGCAGTGAGCTGAGATCCGGCCACTGCACTCCAGCCTGGGTGACAGAGCCAGACTCCGTCTCAAAAAAAAAAAAAAAAAAAAAAAATGGGTGTACATATGCTTCCCCTGGTAAGAAGTGCTAGGAGTTCTTCGAGGCCGAGTTGTGGGAGTTAATGAGTTGTAATTTACGGTCGTGTGTGGCAGGCACTCCGTAAGTGCTCGTTTCCCTCTGTACCCACTGCAGTGAGAATCCCTGAGTCCCTCCAAGACTCCTGAGCACTGCGCCAGGCCCAGGCAGAGCGGAGGTGAACGAGAAACAGCCCTGCCTTCCCACCGTTCCTATCCTGGCAGAGAGATCATCAGAAGATTCACACTGAAAGCAAACACAGGATGAGAATTGCTACCGATTTTGCCCTAACTTTGAATGACACTCAAGTAAACAAGTTAGAAAACGGCCAAATGTAGAAAAAGTTGAATGATACATAAAAGTTTGCGTTTGTGGGCGTCGCCAGACTTTTTTAAAAACACAAATTTTGAATTTGAATGCATAAAACTAAAGTATACATTCCTGAAATATGTACATATTTTTCTCTCTTGGAAAGAATATGGATAGTTAACCCCAGAAGTCTAACAACGACTATTAAAGTTTCAGAATAAGGTATTCAACTTCAGAATTAACTCAGAAGAGGGTCAAGTCCACAAGGTCTACAGATACTTTTATCTGTTAAATCCCCTCATTTTTGTTTTTCTTAATCTGACATAAGATGTCTATGGATTTGTAGCTCCTGCTATACATAATTTATGGTGGTGTGAGGCAGTGCAAAGAAATGCTAGCTTCCTAAGGGGAGGCTACACTTAGTCTACCAACTAGCTATCACTAACAGCTTCTCAGCCCTAGAAACAGACTCAAAGGAGTGCCTCGAGCAAAATAAGAGCTCCATTCTTCCACACTGGGCTTCCATCACAGGCCCCTGGAGCCCGTAAGTACTCCCAGGCCTCCAGCAAGGACCGCTGAGATGGAGGGGCCTTGACTCACCAGCCAGGGCTGAGGGATCTCCGGCAGGGGCATCTGAGGAGGGGCCGGCAGGCTGCTAGCGGTCTCCTGCTTCTGAGCATGGTCTTTCACATCAAAACCTGTAGGAATTAACCAGAACCACAAAACTGGATGAGAATGGGGATAAGAATGGTATCACTAGCATCTAGTGATATGTTGATTGTAAAATCAACACTTTGCAAATATTTATTTTTTCTAATCCTTTACAACAGTCTTGCAGGGTTAGGTATTATTCTTCTCCATTTTACAGGTAAAGAACCGACAGCTTAACATAACAGGGAAAAAAAAGAAGAGGAGGAGGACGGAGGAGTGTAGTATTGTTGGTAGTTGAGAGGTGAGAGAGAAGTAGTCCGTACTCGTCGTGTTTCCATCCATCCTGGAGCAGAGGAGGAGGGCACGGGACATGGAGGAAGGAGAAAACGGTGAGAAAGGGGTTTAGGATAGGGGAAGGGAAGGAAATGGCAAGGAAGGCGGAAGGTGGAGAAAGTGGAAGGAAATAGGTAGGAAGGTGGAAAGGATGAAAGGAAAGGAAGGTGTGAAGGAGATATCTTTCTTGTCGTTTTTCTCCTCCTCGACGAAGGGGCGCGACAAGGGGGTGGATGTTGTAGTTGGAGACAAGGGGGGATAGGAAAAGGAAGGAAGGAGAAAAAGGAAGGAAAGAAGAAGGAAAGGAAGGAAGGGAAAGGGGATATTGGTATTAAGAAAGGAGAGATATCTCTTCGGTGACCGCCTCCTACAGGGAAAATGGGGGAACTGGCGCGGAAAAGGAAGGGACAGGTGTGATTGATGATTAGAAAGGAAAAAGATTATTCCTCCTCTCATAGTTCGGCACACTGGCGAAAATCAGTTGGTAGTTGTTAAGGGGAAGAGGGAGAAAATAGGTGCGTTCTCACTTTAAGGGGGACGCTTCGGAAGGGGTACGCGTCACGTTTTAGTGGGTAAGGTGAAAGGAGTGAAAGGATTAGGGAAGTGGATGAAGGAGGAAGGGAAAGTGGAAGGGGAAAATGGGAAGGGAACGGGGAGAGGAGGAAAGGAGCGGGAAAGAAAGGGGAGGAAGGAAAAAAGGAGATAATGGAAGGAAGGGAAGCTAAGAAACGAATGAAAGCACTCATAGATGGAAATGGGGGACATGCTCCTCAGCGCCGTGCTGCGTCTCAAAGGGAAAGCTGCTCCCTCTCAACTTCTGCTCAGGGCAGGCAGGACTCACCCATGTAGTAACAGAACAGACACCTTCCTGGGAATCAGTAAGTTTTTATTAAGTATCTTCTTAAAGTCAGATACTGTCACAGCCATACTTTATGGAAGACATGACTGATACAAGCTCACACCTCTTGGGCACTCATATTCAAGTTGGAAAGACAAATACATACACAACGAACTACTAGGAAAGGTGATGAACACGACACCAGTGCAGGCAGGAAGAAGAGAGAAGCAACTTTTAATCTGGGCACAGTACTCTTTATACGCCTAACACTCACTTGGAAAGGCCTGTAAAAATACTGACTTAACAACGAGCACCTATAATGGGTTGAGTACTACGCTAGAGGCCAGGAATTGAAACACGGAAAGACCCAGTGTCTGAGCCCCAGGAGCTGCAATGGAGAAAAGAACTTTGGTAGAGAACTGTAAACAAGCAAACAAACAAAAGCAAGAAAGGAAAAGGATAAATGACACATGCATACACAAAATCAATAGATCGGTTTAAAGCAAATTAAAGAGCTGAAGAAAGAATTCATGAATTGAAGAATATCAGGAGATTCATCCAGAAGGAAGCGTGAAGAGACCAGTGCCGGAGCTCACTTGGCAGGGGAAGAGAGGACAGGAAATCAGGGGAAAGCAAACGGTCATCAATAGCTGACATATTTACTATGCATCAGGCACTGTTTTGAAATATTTGATACCATCTCATTCAATCCACACAACATCCCATAAGGTCAATACCATTAGCACTTTTTCTACGAGGAGGAAACTAAAGTTAAAAAAAAAGCGTAAGTAACCTGTGAAAGGTTGCACGTTTGGTAACAGGTAGGGCCAGAATCAAAAAGCCAGTTTAACTTTGGAGTTCATACTCATAACCAGCTATGACAAAGGACCTTGCAGGACGGCTGAAGGAGTCTGACTGTGACCAGAGGCAAAGGCTGACAGATGAAAGAGTCTGAGCAGGGAAGTAACAAAATTACTTCACAAGTGAACATTTCAGGCCAGGCGCAGTGGCTCATGCCTATAATCCCAGCACTTTTGGAGGCCAAGGCGGGCAGACTGCTTGAGCCCAGGAGTTCAAGACCAGCGTGGACAACATGGCAAACACTCAGCTACAAAAATAACCTAGCTGGGTGTTGTGGTGTGCACACATGTAGTCCCAGCTACTAGGGAGGCTGCGGTGGGAGGATCACCTGAGCCTGGGAGGTCAACGCTGCAGTGAGCAGTGATCACACCACTGCACTCCAGCCTGCGTGACAGTGAGACCTTGTCTCAAAGAAAAAAACAAAAAAAAGTTAATATTTCATGTTGCCTCAGAATAGGGTCCCTATCCTGCTTTCTCATCTGAGTAACAGGCCCCATCGCCCACCCAGGTTTCCCCAAGCCACCCACGTTCAAACTGCTACCAAATCCTTCAGCCCATCTTCCAGACTGGCCAGGCGAGCTTTCCAGAATGCAAATCGAATCGTGTCATACATGGCTTCATATACTAAGAGAATTCATATAAAAGTATAAATGAATTGTACACTGTAAATGGTGAAGTGTATGGCCTGTGAATCACATCTCAATAACGAGGTTGAAAAGAAAAATCCTCCACCTCATCCAGCAGATTATCTCCACAGAGTCCTCAAGATTCTCACATCACATCATCCAGGAACTGCCCCTCGGACCCTCCGACACCCCAGTCTCTCACTCACCTGGTGTGGACTCACTTCTTAGGCGCTCTCATGAGGCTCTGGGCTCTCCACAGCAGTACTTAGCAGGCTTTCTCATTGCCTGTTTTTTTGTCCTACTCACTGTGCATGAAAGAGTTAACACAGCAGGCCCAAGGCTGCTCTCTCTTGAGGGGCCTGCTTGCAAGGCTGGCCCTGGCTGGCCTCTGGGAACATGGATTTCAGAAGTGCTCCCACCACTCCCTGATGGACAAGGGTGGTTCACTGTGCCTGTACTGTTTATGTAAACAACACGGTTGTGCTGAAGCCCTGCCTGTCCTGGAATTCTGGTGTGTGCCAGGCAGAGGGTGCCTAGAGGACCAGACCCAAGTAAACACCCTGGGCACTGAGTCTCTGACGAGCCTGAACAAAAACGTCACTCAGAGCTTGCTGCGTTTTTATTGCTGAAGAGAGAGTGTGCTCTGTGTGACCCTCGTGGGAGGGACAGAGCACACAGAAGCTGGCCTATAGGTTCCTGCACGTTCCGCCTGTGTCTTCTCCTTCCGATCTGCCCATCGGGCTGTGCATCCTCACTACGGCTGCAGTGCATCCTGCACGTGAGAAAGAACAACCCGTCCGGTGAGTCCTTCCAGGTAATCTCCAAACACTGGGGTTGCCCTGGGGACTCCCAACACACGATTCCATTAGCTCCTTCAAAGCTTTATCTTTCTACACCTCGAGGCCAACACAGAACTTGGCACAAGTGTAAACCCTCAATGAAAACTTGATGAATAAATAAGTTTGTAAGTTAAAGAACAAACAAATATATTTTAGAAAGATGGCAAAATTAAAGACGGTTTAGAAGCCAAGACACTGTAAGAAGAAAAAGCAGGCGTCAGAATGAGACTCACCTTTGGATGACTGTATCCTCAGCAGAATGTTGGTTATCACTGCCTTTTTCTCCCTGACAGTTGAGGTTAGATATTCATGGTCCAGGAGTTCAAGAAAGAGACGAAGTTCAACTATTAACTCTTCCATTGCTGACAACAAAAGAAAAGAAGGGTATTATTAGACCCAGTGATCTGCAAATATCTAAGTACAAATGCTGAGTCCTACTTGAAGCATTTCATGTTTAGCTTGATCACTGGATATAGTATTCTGACCTGAAAAACAAGTTTGCTGAAAGCAGGTCCACTAAAAGATTCAAGTATCTTCTTCTTAACAAATGCACTACTCCTTCCCTTCTGCTTTAAGGCAGCAAAATTCAACTGGGAGAAGCTCCAAAGCCAGGCTGCCAACAGATGGTGTCACAACCCAAAGGCCTGACATCATCATTTGGTGTCAATTCCATGATATTAAATTTCAATGTCAAGAAGGAGAAGGGAGTTTAAATGCCAAAGAGTTTTCTAATAACCAGTAGGGCATGGCTTCAGAAACTCAACGCCCAGCTTTCTGCTTTTGTAAAGCTAGCTCCAGCCCAGGACGACTGTGAGCATGTTTATGCAGTTAGTACAAAGGATGCCAGATGCCGGGGCTGGTGTAAATACAAGTTCAGGGGCTGACTCCCCACCATGCCCTTTCCTTCTAGGATGATGGTCGACTTGATGTTTCCTCTGATATCCGCAAGACTGGAATACTGGCTTAGGTCAGCAGTTTGTAGATGATGATCTTAGCCTCTGGGGATGTAAACTCCTCCTTTCAGGGAGCCCACAAGGCCCAAACTATTTTCAGAATGCTAAGACATTATTCACCTTTTTCTGCATTAATGGTGTAAATGCCAGGGTAAAACTGCTAGCATCTTAGCACGAATCAAGGCAGTGACACCAAAACTATCCTAGCGGTCATGATATCCTTCACCATATACTCACAGTTTTGTTTGTAAAAAAAAAAAAAAAAAAAAAAAAAAAAAAACTACTTGGGCTAGGGCGGTGGCTCACACTCTTAATCCCAGCACTTTGGGAGCCCGGGCAGACGGATCACGCTGAGGTCAGGAGTTTCAAGACCAGCCTGGCCAACATGGCCAGCTCTACTAAAAATACAAAAATGAGCCAGGCGTGTTGGGCATGTGCCTATAATGCCCAGCTACTCAGGAGGCTGGGGCACAAGAATCACTTGGAACTCCGGTGGCAGAGGTTGCAGTGAGCTGAGATCGTGGCCACTGCACTCCAGCTTGGAAGACCCGAGTGCGACTCTTCCGAAAAAAGACTCCTTCGTCTTTGGACGAAGCAATAAAAATCATCGTTTTTCCTTAAATCTCACTTTGAAGACACACCTTTTTTTTTTTTTGAGACGGAGTCTTGCTCTGTCGCCCAGGCTGGAGTGCAGTGGCGCAATCTTGGCTTACTGCAAGGTCTGCCGCTCCTGGGTTCATGCCCATTCTCTGCCTCAGCCTCCCAAGTGAGCTTGGGACTACAGGTGCCCGCCACCAACACCCGAGCTAATTTTTGTTATTTTTAGTAGAGACGGGTTTCCACCGTGTTATACCAGGATGGTCTTGATCGCCTGACCCTCGTAGATCGCGGCCGCCTCGCCTCCCAAAAGTGCTGGGTTACAGAGCATGGAGCCACCGCACCGGCCAAGACACACTTTTTAACGTCCAACTGAATGACCGATGGGAGCACACATGAGCCCTCCTGCACACCGATCCCACGGCCGTCGAGAGAAAAATCACTCTTGTGAGTATGAGTTCCAAGCCACCCGAAGCTTTTTTTTTTTTTCAGTACTATCTTTACTGCAAACTGCAGTGACTGAGACTTGAGCACCTGGCAGACATGTTCTCAAGAATGAACACATGAGCTCATCACTTCAAGGTAAACAACTGACCGCACTTGTGGCCAAGAATAGAAGTTGAGCTTCCAAGTGAAAAAAGAATTTTCGAAACTTTGTATCCACCCCATAGGTGCTTACTGCCTCCTCATACTTGACATTTTTCTAATGAGATCAGCAGTTTTTTTTTTTTTTGTGATTTATATATGCTGACATTTACTTGGAAGATCTGCACAACTCAGTGAACCATGATGTTACGAAATCATATATGGGTAAAAGATCCACCTAAAGTGCAAAATAAACTTTTTTTTTTTTTTGTAACAGAGGATGGCACAGCTTCAGATGCCACATCACAAGTAACCGTTTTTTTTTTTTTTTTTGTCAAGTTTTGGTGTAATATCAAAGAAGAGCATCTACAATTTTCTATTTTTTTTTTTTTAAAATTTCCCAACTGACTATCTGTGGGAGGTCAGATTTTCTTTTTTCCTTTTTTTTTTTTTTTTGAGACAGTCTCACACTCTGTCACCATAGGCTAGATGCAGTGGTTGCTGATCTTGGCATCACGGCCGAGCCTCCAGCCTCCCTGGGCTCACAGCAAATCTCCTGCCTCAGCCTCCTGAGCAGCCTGGAACTACAGCGCCCGCCACACATGCCCAGATTATATTTCTTTTCTCCTTTTTTTTTTTTTGTATTTTTAGCCAGGATGGTCTCGATCTCCTGACCTCGTGATTCGCCCGCCTCAGCCTCCCAAAGTGCTGGGAATACAGGCGTGAGCCACCGTGCCCAGCCCAGATTTTCTTAATGTACTTCCACTGTAATATCTCACACAGTCTGAGTGAAGAAGTATATATGAGAATCGGCTATCTTCTAAGCCAGATACTAAAGATACTTGCAAAAGTATAAAACAATGCTACTCTTCTAATTATCGTGTTTTGGTTAAGTGCAGTTACTTTTCATAAATATATATTATTTATGTTAATATAATAGGTTTATTGCTATTTTTAATGAATAAATATCTTAAAATTTGCCAATTTTAATTCTAGTATGGTAAGTACCTACAGATATAATCATAAAAATAAAGGTCTTTAAGGTCTTCAAAATATATTTTGAGACCAAAAAGTTTGAGATCTGCTGATGTAGGCAATGACTTTAAGCTCCTCATTCACGTATTCATCACTTAGCTATTATCAGTCATACAGGTCATGCATCTCAACCGACAAAAGCATAATGAAAATGATTCATGCAAAAAACCTAAGCAAAAAAGTTTGAGAGCCGCTGGTCTGTGGGATTCTTCCAAATCCACTATTCTGTAAGTCTATAACATCCTTCAGGATTAAATATCCATACTGAGGCTGCCGTCTACCGCCAAAACTCTCATCATTTTAGGTAAGGGGGAGAGAAATGATAAATGAGCTTAAAGTAGGTGGATGTGGCACCAGCAGTTCACTCTTCCCAGCTGGGCAATTTTCCCTTCTCTGAAATGAAGAAGTTGGACTAAGTATGCCTTTCATTAAGGTCTTTTTCATTAACCAAACAATTTCTCGATTCTAAGCAATCTCATCTATACTTTAAAAACGAACCAGGCATGTTGGCTCACGCCTGTAATCCCAGCACTTTGAGAGGCTGAGGCGGGAGGATCACTTGAGCCCAGGAGTTCGAGGTTGCAGTGAGCCATGACTGAGTCAATGCACTCCAGCCTGGGTGATAGAGTCCCTGACTCTCAAAAAAAAAATGGGGGTGGGGGGGTGGGACGAGGGGCTGATAGCATTATTCAAAAGAGTCAAAAGGTAGAAAATGAGTAACAAATGAATGGATAAATGAAATGTGGTATATACATACAATGAAATATGATTTACCCACTAAAAGGAACAAAATTCAGATACATGCTGCAACACGAACAAACCTTGAAAATATTATGTTAAAACAGACAAAAAGAGGCAAATATTACGAGTCAGCTTACATGAAGTACTTAGAGTAGTCAAATTCATAGAGACAGAAAGTAGAACAGTGATTACCAGGGGCCAGTGGTGGGGAGAAGGTAGGGTTATTATGTAATGGGGTTCAGAGTTAACAGTTTGGGATGATGAAAATGTTCTGGAAATGGATGGTGAATATACCTAATGACACTGAATTTTAGACTCAAAAAGGATTAAAAAGGTAAAATGTATGCTATGCATATTTAATTTAAAAAGGAAAGAGATTTCGCTTGGGTTCCACCTAACAGCATGGAAATATCTCAAGAGAACCTAGGGATGCATCGATCCTAACCGCCACCTAACACCTGAGCTCCCCATGCAGTGCGACCGTGAGGCCTCTGCGCAAAACCCTCCAGAGCCTGGAGTTTGTCACGGCCCCGGCCAAGGTACCTGCCCATCCTCTCCTCTGAGAACAGCAGCCTCAACCACAAGGGGGACTCTCAGCAACCGCTGCTATGCTGCAAGGCCCTGCACACTGCCTCCCACTACTAGGTTATGGTTAATTGGACCGTCCAATTCCAAGCTGGTCAGTCACATCTTCCAGTCCTCTATCTTTTACCTCAAGACTAAGAAATAGGATTTGGTTGGGGTGGTCTCTTGAACTGAAAATGTAGAAAGGCAGCAACCAGGGCAACTGCAAGTACACGGGTGCAAAGGACAGAAGCCAGCACCGAAGGACGAACAAACAGAGGTGACACCCTCAGAGGCTGGCACACACAGAGGCAGGCAGCCCCGCGAGAGAGAAAGTATCTCAGACACCGACCATGCTCCTGAGGCTTTCCCGGGCCTGTTGTTAGCTACTCGGAAAACTGGACTGCACTTGAATTCCAAGAAATAGTTGTATCCTTCTAATAAATGTTCATTTCACTGTGTTGTTGTTAAGCTAATCTGTGTAGTTTTCTGTTCACCCGAAACTGTAACCAAAAGATTCTCAAAACACAGCTCTAGCGCCTCAGAAAGCGAAACGCTCCCATAGCAGAGTTGTAATTGTTAGAAAAGCTCCTCCTTTTTGGGATCTTCACAGACTAAATAAACTGTATTTTCTACTTGACAGTCTTTTTCCAAATACTTAATGCTCATCCCTCTTTCTTCCAGCCGTCTCTAATTAAACACCCCAGTTGGCTGCCCCTCACTGAAGTCTTCCTTAAATTACCAAAATCCATTCCTCTTTGAGCAGCTGCACGGATTACTGGATACTTAGTGACCTTAAGGTTTATTTGGGTTTTTATGGGGTTTTTTTTCCCTTAAGGCAGCTAGTCAACTGGTTAAAGGCAGGTGTCATCCTATGTTTATCTCCA